GAAAATAAGAATATATTGTTTTCAGTCCATCACAGTTACCTTGTATTGTTATTGTGTCTTGTAAAATAAGGAGGGAATGTTGAAGAAAAATTCAGTCAGATCCAGTTTCTGGAATATTTGGAAGATTCTCACACCTTCGGTGGGTGTAGTAGGGTTTTACAGAGAGATGGAACCATTGGGGCATTTATTCGGGGAATGGGCTCCTGTGATTTTTGGAAGCTGGGAGGTTCCATGGTAAGTCATTGGCAAGCTGAAGAACAGAAAAGCTGGTAGCATGTCTCAGTCCAAGTCCCGAAGCCTCAGCCAGGGAAGCCGGGGGAGAGTGCAGCTGCCAGTTCAAGGCCAAGTTCTGAAATGTCCAAGGGCAGAAGGAATGGTATCATGCCGTGTGTGTGTGTGTGTGTGTGTGTGTGTGTGTGTGTATGTGTGGAGTACGCAGAGAACACAAGACTGCCCCTGATCTCCTGCTCTTTCTTATAACAATCTGGCCCTTAGCACTTCTACTTAATAAGGGAACTGCGTTAAGTTCCATTATTTCAAATGGTAGTGACTGTTAACAAAGCCCACACTGGAAGATGATTTAGAAGACCCACGTATAATAAGGACATTAGTTCCCCCAAGCGTCTCCTTCTGTTGGTAGATGTCCTGTTTGAGTTCCACAGATGTAGAATCACCCAGAACTCAGAAAGCATTCTTGTATCAGGTATTGAAATCTCTACTCAGAAGCTCCCTGTCAGCAAAATTAGGAGGTAACGTTGCTGTTGAGGGAAACACTTTTCCTCCGCCTCATTCAGGTCAGGGTCTGCATTAGGGAGGGAAGTTGTGGGACCATAGGAGGTGGCATGGTGAAAGGGCCCCTGGTTCACCAGACCCTTCCCTTAGATTAGGGAATTTCCTGAGATGTTAACTCGGTTGCCATTTTGTCACAGAGAATTTCCTGATCAATTGTTTCCCCTATAAGAATCTCTTTCTCTCTAGCTCTTTTTTTTGGAGGCGGGTACCAGGGATTGAACTCAGGGACACTTGACCACTGAGTCACGCCCCAAGCCCATTTTTGTACTTTCTTTAGAGACTGGGTCTCACTCAGTTGCTTAGCACCTTGGATTTTTGCTGAGGCTGGCTTTGAACTCATGATCCTCCTGTCTCAGCCTCCCAAGCCGCTGGGATTACAGACATTGGCCTCCTACACGAGTCTCTTAACACCATATATCTCACCTGTCCCCATTTTGTCAAAGTATAAAGATACCTTTATGTCGCTTCCATGTGTGATCATTTAACATAGATCTCCGCCACTAGATCCTCAGGTCTGTGTCAACATCGGTGGTTTCTGACCTGGTTATGATCTTTGAAACTAGCCCAGTACCTGCAACATGGGTCATTAGTGTTGGGCAACTGAGAGAACTGATGAGTGATTGGACAATTTTGAAGGCCAGATAAGGTAGCTGGAGATTTTATTTAAAAAAAAAAAAAATAACAAGCAGTAGAGCTTCTGATACTTACCTAGGGACCAGCTGTACCGAAGACAGGGCTTTGGTGGATTCCAGGGGATTTGTGGACTGGATTAGAAGAAAAAAAAAACCTTCTAATGAAGCACACACCCAGGTTGTTGCAGGCAGAGAGAGAGACCCTGGGCTCCTGGCACCTTTAAACCATGGTCACAGAAATCAAAGTTTCACCTACAAGAGCTGGTGAGGCAACGAAGAGAGGAGCCAGAGAGAAGAGGCAGAGATTTCAAGCCCAGGAAATGGGGACGATGAGATAGATGTCCTCTGCTTTAATGACAGACCACTGTGAACAGTGAGCGAAGTCCTGAGCAGGAAGTGGCAGGTGCTTTATAGGAGCTGGAGGAGAAACCTGAGACAAAGACTGGCCCTTCCGTGTGGCTGGGCTGTGAACTTGGGAGTCCCTGACACACGCAGGTGGTGGGCAGACGCTTTTGCACAGCTGAGTCTCCTGTGGAGAGGGAGGAGAATGTCTGCATCCGTGCAGTATTTCCAAGGCCTTCTCCTGTCCTGTTTCTTTTGGAGCAAACCTTCCTGGAGTTTTAGAGGCCATTTTTTGAAAGATCAGAGTAAGCGGAGTGGTGTGTCCAGTGTCACAGAGACAGTAAATGACAAAGCAAGAATCCAGGGACTCGACCAGATGACTTTTGTATGGGAGGGCTGACAGCTGCGGGCTGTGGCGTCCCACGTAGCTGGCCAGTCGTCGTTGATGTTTCCTGTGTCGATTGTTCTATCAAAGGAGAGCTTTAAAAACAAAAATAATCATGATAATCTTTTTCTCATAATATGGTGTATGTGAAATGTTTTCTGTTTTCCTCTTTGAATTCGTGTTACAGCCCATGAATGCTTTTATGACCACAGTTTCTGAAATAAAACATTTTCTTCCACTCCAAGTATGATCACCAATGAGGAAAAAGTAATAGAAATATTTCCTGCTATTACAAAAATCTTCCAAATGGCCAAACAGTATTAGCTTTGGCTCTCTTAAAGGTTGCTTCTCAACCATCTGTGTTTTTTTATAGACATCTGTCCATGTTTCTGTCATTATCTAAATTAACTGGAGTAAATAGGATCACCGTAACCATCCTTAGTATTTGCTTCTCTAAATCAATTCACTTTTTATGAAAAATAAGCTCATTTTTAGGTAGTGTTGGGACTCAAAGTATTATTTTAAGCTGGTCAAGGCTTATGTGTGCTAAAATTATAGTGAGCTCCCTAAAAATATTGAAATGCTATCTATTGCATTTCTTCTGTGTAGTGATTGCTTGATTTTAAATCACGATGAACTTTCTCTAATACAGAATAGAGGAAAGGAAAGGTCGTAGTAAGCCACTTTGCTTGTTGAAAATACCTTATATTAATCAGCCTTCTAATATGTCTAATTTTTCACCGGTAGTACTGAACATAGGAGAACCAATTACAGCTACAGATATGCAGGTATAAATATATATATTCAATCATACACATATACGTGCATATACATGCATCAAAAGACATGTATTTATCATCTGCAGTGATAAGCAATATCAAGTTCTGTCTCGTGGATCTTGCTTATCTAAAACTCATTGTAACATACCAGACAACCCACATCAAAGGGCAGTAGAACTAAATAGACATTTCTGAAAAGAAGACATGCAGATAGGTATATGAAAAGCAGGTATATGAACAAAATATGCCAATAGATATATGAAAAATGCTGAATATCATTAATCATCTGGGGGTTACTAATAAACCCCCCAATGAGATGTCACTTCATCTTAGGAGGAATGGCTGTTATCAAAAAGATTAAAAAATAAAAACTCTGAGTAGGATCTGGAGAAAAGGCAGCCCTTCCGCCATGTTGATGGGAGTGTGAAGTAGTACAGCCATTATGGGAAACAGTATGAAGGTTTCTCAAAACATTGAAAATAGAACTACCATATGATACAGCAATTCCCTTCCTGAGTACATACTGAAAGAAAAGGAAATCAGTGCACTTGAGATATCGGCACGCCCATGTTTGTTGCAGCACCATTCCCAAGAGCCAAAACATGGAAATAATCCAAGTGTCTATCAGATGACGAATGGATAAAGAACATGGTACACATACAAAATAGAATATTATTCAGCTGTAAAAAGGAATGAAATCCTGTCATCTGTGACATGGCTGGAACTGGAGATCATTCTGTTAAGTTTAATGAGCTAGGCACAAAAAGATGCCATATTATCTCACTCATAAATGGAAAGTAAAAATGTCAATCTCCTAGCTGTTTAGAGTAGCCTGGTGGTTACCAGAGGTAGGGGAGTCAGAAAGGATGGAAGGAGGAGAAAAGGTTGACGAATGGGTACCGTGTTGCAGTGGGAAAAGGAGTAAGAAGTTCTTGTGTACCGTTGCAGAGCAGGATGACTGTACAAAACTGTTATGTACCCCATCAACAAGCAAAAAAAGAAGATTTTGAATATTTTCACTAAAAAAGAAGGATAAATGTTTGAGGAGATATGCTTAACCTGATGTCAACATTACACAATACATACAAGTATCAAAACATCACATTACCTCATTCATATACGTAATTTTTAATGTTTTAAGGTAACAGTTAAAAATGAATTTAAATTAAAAAAGGAGAGAGAAATGCTAATGGCCCTGATTTGATCATGATGAATTATATACATTTATTGAACTGTCACACTGGGCTCCATAAATATGTACAATCATTGTGTCAATTAAAAGTTAAAAAAAAATGAAAACAAACACGTGCCATTTTAAATGAAAAAATACACATCAGTTGCTCAATATTATACTGTGTATATCTCTTTAGAATACATGACCTTTTCATATATTAAATTATTCAAATGTCACTATTATACTGTTTAGCACTGTCCTATACGATGTCAATCCCTATTTTACAGAGAGTGTGACTCGCTACAAATAGAAGCCATTTAATTTCATGAGGTTCAGGCCTACCTTACTTTTCTTTTGACCAGATGCAGTAATGACTCCCTATGCCAAAATGTTAGGCGTCATTCAATTTAATTTGAAAATGATAAAGGATAACCTAAAAAGGTAAATCACAAGCTCAACAAGGACATGACCCGGTTTCAGTCCATTTTAGGTTCTTAAAAACTGGCACACCTCGTTATGCCAAAATCCAAAGACAGTATGGTCTAACCTAAAACGTCATGTGCACCCTTCATTGGAACCAGGAGTGGTGTAAAGACCGGCACACGAGGCATTTTGACAGCGGGTAATGTGATGATCATTATTATCCAAAGTTCATGTATAAAGACACAAATTGGTGTGAATATACTTTGTGTACAACCAGAGAGATGAAACATTGTGCTCTATATGTGTAATAAGAATTGTAATGCATCCCGCTGTCATATGTAAATTAAAACAAACAAAAAGTCCAGCCTCCTACTGGGAAGTGTGGTAGTGACTGTGCAGAATGTGGAAAGCTAGGGGACAATGTGAATGCTGGAAAAGCCCAGTAACCTATTCCTTTGTTTTGTGAATTGTAGCTGACTTTGGCCTGGCAAAGCAAAAACAAGAAAACAGTAAGCTCACGTCCGTCGTTGGAACTATCCTGTATTCTTGGTAAGGATGATTATCTTCTGGCTCTCTGTAGCATACTTCGCTACCTTGGGCTTTCATTTCTATCCTTGGCTTGCAAAGAAAAGGGAATTTCAGGAAAGGAAGCTAGTAAGTTTTCTTCCTTTACCCAGGTAATACACCCAAAAAGAATCGTGGATCATTCTGCATGTATAAAACAACAGCCGAAAAAGTGATCTTTCTTCTCAGATAGCATTTCTCTGTGCTGACTTCATGCACCTACTTTTACCTTTCCTACCTATAAATACTCAAGGGCAGGGAAAGAGTTTCTGTGTGCTACTATATGTTCTTCTACCTGGGGAAAAAATAGGTATTCAATAAATTTTATTGCCTGCATGAATTAATGATGACATATATACTTAGACATATGTGTACAAAGTACGTTGTGTTTTGGGCAAGTGAATGTTTATATTTTGACAAATTGAGACACTTATAGATCTTAAAAGCACACTTTGAGGATTCGTTTGCAAGCCACTTATATGAAGTGAGACTCTTCTTTTGCTAATCATGTATCGTTTATCTGAATCTGTTGAGATGAGCAAACAGATACAAGAGTCAGTAGAAGAGCCAATTTCAGAGAACTCTTCCTAAATCTGATCCAACAGGTCAATCAGTCAAGACATTTCCGTTTTCTTTATAAGATCTAACCGACTATCGTAAATTGAGTCCTGGTGACAGAACTGAAAATGAATCTTGAAGGAAGTTGGAAATGCCTGGAAACAACAGCCCCATTTTACAAAATCCTTGTAGGACATGGTTATTGAGGCTAATTATACAGGGTGATTTTTCATTTATTTTACTGGAATTTCCTTATATTTTCTTTTTGAAACAAGTCCCATGAGAAGATGCAAAAAGATTGGTAGTAGCCAGGTTAATATTCCTCAAAAACTGTAAGCTTATCCATATACTTAACCTCTTAACCACAAGGAGGCTGACCCATTCATTGCTTGTTGCTAGAAGAATAATATTTTTTGCTTTGTTTTGTTTTTGCTTTGCTTTGAACTTTTTTTCAGAAATAATGAAAATTCTATCACAAAATGTTAACTAATCCTATGTTCCTGGACAGATTCCATTGTTAAAGTCTCAGAACACATAAGATACAAACTTAAATTCAGTTGATCATATTTGGCATAAGCAGATTTTTGTTACCAAGCCTCTGAATTAAGTTCAGAATTGCTAATATGATAGTACCAATTTGTCTTTGTGTGCGTTTGTATCAGAAAATTTATAGAGTGTTTAGGAAGAAATCCGGAGCATGATAACTCTTTTGCTTTCTTATCCCAAAGATGGATTCACAGATTTCCTTTTAATTTTTAAATAAACAAAAGTATTAGTTTTGCTGAGTCTATTAGTATAGAGGACAAGCTATTATATTTCATATAGGTGTTGTGATTGTTTTAATAACGTGTGCAGCGTATCTTATCACTATTCATCCTTCTATGGAGCCCTTTGGTCCTTTAAAATTCCTTTAACATTTTTCTTATTTCGCCTCTTTCCTCTCCCCTCCTCCATTTGTTAGAAACGCTCTGTTTTCTGGGTTTTACTGTGAAGTTGGACTCAGTGCTATTAGAGTTGTCCTGTGTGATGGGTGAGAGGCGCTCTGTTCCCCAATCACAAGTGGGAGCCCTCGGCAGCCACTGGGAAAAGCCTCAGCAGGATCTTATACTGTTGGACATAGGCTGCCCTGGACGTGCCCTGAGATGTGAGTGCAAGGGGACCCAGCAGTGTCAGCAGTACAGTTTCTGAAGTCTTAATGGTTTCAGATTTAGGATGGATCCCAATAGGTTGTTTGGCATGTCTACTTTCTTTTGAATTTTCCATACAGTCATTTTGGGATTTTTTTTCTCTGATTTTTATGAATTGGAAAAAAATCTCACCGTCAGTGGTCAGAGTCTCATGCCTCTGCCTTTTCTCAAATTGTCCCTTTACCCTTTAATTTTCTTTTTTTTGTAATCCTTCTGAGCTTTTTTGAACCTATAAATATGGATCTGAGATCCAGGGGAACTTCTGTCCCAGGCTGTCCAAGTCGGGTGAACCTGACATTCTCATGTCATTTCGCCCTTTTCCTTTGCTTCTGTTTCGGCAGACGTGGGAGAAGGTTCTCTCCATCAACTCCTGTAGGAAGCTTCTTGGAGCATTCTTTATTCTTTTTGCAGCTGCTAGATAAATGGTTTGCAGGCACTTTGCTGGACTGGCTATGCTAGAATAGAAGCTCCCTAAAAAAAAATCTCCTTTTCTTTATCTAATTTGATTCTTTATTAGGCAAGCCTTGGTTATGCTTCTCAAGGAAAAATAATCTCGAGATATGGCCCTGATTTCCATTCCCCTCTCTCTATTTCTTACTCCAACTCCAGAGAACAACAATTGTATTCCATCTTCAACTACATTTTCACAGCAGATTTTAGAGTTTTGGGCTCTGGGAATCATTTCATGCTAGTTCTTTGTGGAATAAAGATTTGGAATTTAATAATCAGGTATGATTTAATAACAAGGAGACTTTTCCTGGAATGGGAATTCTTAAAAATTCTACTGTTCTTTATGAAGTTAGATAATTAGCAGAAAAGCTGGTGAAGCGTTTCCTGGGTCGATCAAACTAAGCCTATAGGTAAACCCAAGCAAGTAGAGACAAAGTGCAGCAGTCCCATACCATCTGTAAACTCTCAAGTTCTTAAGGAAGCTATTATGCACTCAGAAATCTTAAATTATACACTCAGAGAATCTTAAATGCTTAAAACACTTCTGTGACTTCTGGTTGTTTATGTAAAGACTAAGTTCTTAGTATGACTGCAGGAATTCATCTCTGCGTGCTCTGGCCCCAGCCGCCTTCTTCTGCTTTACCTCAAACCAGACTTTACTCTGATAATTCCATCTTTGCTCTCTCCGATCCCAGCGCCTTTGCACACACAGCTTTCTTTACCTAGAAAATGCTTTTCTCACTTGTCCTGCTTTGAACTTTTACCCATTCTTCAGCTCTCAACTGGAATGTTGCTTTCCTCAGAACCCAATCGACAAGGCACATTTCCCCTGGTCTGTACATTCCCTACACTTTTTTCTTCACACAGTTGAATTTTTCATTTATTTTCGTGATGATTTTGTTAACCACCATCCCCAGCACTGAGCCCAGAGTCGGGTACTTCATAGACTCGTGTGAGAAATAGTTGCTTCACAAGTGATGCCATATTCGCATGATTTTGAACAATGCCCCAAATAACGTGCTATAAGGAAAACCGTGATCCTTTTTATTGTATGAACTTTTCCATTGGTTCACGTCCTTCCCCTTCCTGTTCCTTCAGATCTCCAAAATGCTCCTCCCTCGAATGCTCCTCCTCCAGATAGTTGCCAAATCTACTCCTTTACTTCCTTTTGGTCCCTGCTTAAATGTTTTTCCTGACCACCGGCCCCAAATAGCAACCTCTGTTTGCATTCAATTCCTGGATCTTGCTTTAGGTTTCCAAAGCTCTTGCTTCTGTCTGACCTTGTCCTGTACAGAGGGTCCCTGACTTTGGATGGCTTGACTTACAATGTTTTCACTTCACGACGGTGTGAATGTAGCATGCATTCCCTGGAAACTGCACATTAAACATGGATCTTTTCCGGGTCTAATGTGATATGTAAGATACGCCTGAAATGTTGGGCAGTGGCAGTGAGCCACAGCTCTATCAGCCACTCAGTCCCAAAGGTAAACAGCAGAGGCTCTTCCGTACTGTGTGAGTGAGCCGTGACCTTGATAGGTTTGTCATATCAAGCACATCCTCGACTTACGATGTCCTCTACATGCCATGGGCCCATCCTGACGTATCCCAGGGCCCCTTGAGGAGTGCCTGCGTACCTCTTGGTGCATCACAGACTCCGTGGGAACAGGACTTTGGCCTCCTCTGCTCACCACGGTTTCCCCAGGACCCAGAGGCACAGAATGGCAAGTCTTAATATTTTGAATAACTAAGTGAAAATAAGCCATTCTGCATTTTAATAGAATATAAAAAAAATCAGTGTGCGTTTTTATTGGGCTCAAAGGTATTAACTAACATATCTTTGAACTTTCTTTGCTTTTGCCTCACTGAAGGCTGACGTGACTACTTTGAACTTGGGATAGTAAAGTACCTTGACGAGAGGGTCTGTTTTATTGCTTTTTTTCCATTTACTTATTTTATTTTTAAATCTTCTCTAGTTACTGGGACAGTGAATAATGAGATCAAGTAGGATATTATCATTTTTGAAACAATGAGGCATGGGATGATTATTAATTATTGAGAGAAGCATTCTTCTATGACTGATAAATTGGCCCGGAGGGAAATTGCAAGAGAGGAATTTTAAAAATAAGAGCATAATAGGAATAAAAATATAGTATTGATAGATCTAGGTTGGTAGGTTGTTCCAAAGAGGACAAAGTCTGGAGTCACACTGCCCGGGTTTAAATTCTAGGTCCGCTGTTGGGAGTTACAAATGACAGAACTCTGTGCCTCAGTTTTCCCACCTGCAACCTGGGTATAATAAAAGCATTCCACTCCTAGATTATTATGAGCGTAAGTGAGGTGATGCATATTAGGTACGGGGCTGGCATATGGTAAGCATTCCCTGATAAGAGTGATTGTCATGTGCTGTTGGTTTAACATCTGAAAGAATAGTACCCCTTTGAATGTATAGATTGCATGGTGCTTCAGAGTCAGGTTTGTGGCTTAATAGGTACAGTAGAGAAGAATTCATTATGCTCTGGTTATTTCTAGATCCTTTTCTTTCCCAGTCTCTCTTTTGGGTTCCTGGGTCACTGATTTGTTTATGGTAGGAAGAGAGTTTTTTTCTAGCAGCTAGGCCCAAGCAGCCGAGAACTATAAAAGGTAAGGGAGATGCTCCTGGCATGCAAAGACAGGAGGCCTACAGGCTCTGAAGTTTCGATAATGGTGCTTTGAGCAAGTGGGTAGGTGGGTGCTTTTGCCTGTTAATGCCTCTGTTATGGTTTCTCTGTGGCCTGGCAGGATAAGATTTGG